AGTCAGCCATAATAACGCCTTGAAAATGGCAAAAATTACTGTTTTTGGCCTATATTACCCCATTTATCTCAAAAACCTGACGTGATGGACATTTTTTGCTGATGGATTCAAATTCAGCGACCAAAATTACGTAGGAAATCACTATTCTGCTTTTTCTATCTGAACCTCGCAGATCTGTGTTATTAATTATCGATATATTATGATCAGAATTAAATGCTGTAATTATGCGCGATACATGTCACAATCATGCATGACATATATCAGCTAGTTGAAGTTTAGAACGTTCCTGGAGCGATTTTTTAAAAATGACTTGTCACTCTTCTCCTTTTGCAGGAAGGAAGTTTCGAGACCCTCACACGACATGCAAAAGAGACCGATCCGATATATACGTTGGAAGACACCCTTATACTCAAAAAACCTCCCCCAAAATTACTTAAAAAATTCTCTTCGTGTTTTCCGACGCATGTATCGAATCGGTCTCGTTTGTACTTTGTTTGTGGGTCTCGAAACTTCCTCCTTCCAAAAGAAGAAGAGCGACAAATTATTTTTTTTAAATCTCCAGGAACGTTCCAAACTTCAACCAGCTCCTACATCGCTAAATAAAATTTGTCTAGAAATATGACAACATAATAGCAGCATTTAATTGCGATTAAAAATGATCATCGTTGTATGCTGTTACAATTTTAGATTTTCATTTTAAATGTTCAGTATATCTATTTAAACACTTTGCCAAATTACGTCTTCCATTGTTGATGCAAATACAAACTGTTCCACTAGAACGAGATCTAATTCGCCTATCTATTTGTCTTCATTTCCGAAGTATTTTAGTTTTTCGGTTTTTTGATCGACAATTAAGGGGATCCTAAAGTGGTCTGTTTTACCTATTTTTTTTAAATACACTTAACTTTTTTTTGGCTGTGTAGAATAAAAAGTCCTTTTCTGTAAATAAAGTACATATGCTAATACACTACGGATGGTCGATTTGAAAGGATTTTTTAAGCCACGCAGCCAAAAAAAACGAATTTTACGAAAAATAAAAGGTAAAACAGAGACGTATCTGTTTTAAAAAAGTGTAAATCTTATAAGGCGACTCGCTGATCATCTTTTGAGCTGCCAAATTCAATTCCTTGTAATTTTCGTGCACCGAAAGCCATGTGCGGTTACCAATATTAAAACCTTAAAAAAATTTTTAATATTTTTCGTAGCTTTTTCAATAAATATTCCTTAAAATTCAGCTTTAATGCAAAATAACTTTACATATAATTTATTATTCTAATAAATTATATTATTTTAATAAATTATTTTGTTCATAATTTTCATAAATAAAATATTTTCTAGAAAATAATTGCTATGAATAATTTACCAGTATTTTTTATGGCATCCCATTAGAACGGCGTGCGATTAGGACCGCGCGATTAATTTTGATATTTATCTTTGCCGGCGTTACAAGCTTGAGGATCTTTGGTACCCTCTCGTGATATAACTCGTTTGTCCAACATACCGATTTCTTCGCCATTGTACGTAACTGCGATGCGAGGCAGAATCATCTCCAGCATCGTCACCTGATTTCATCTTCCGGGATAACGAGACGCAGTTCGGCTGCGATTATGATTTCCCATTTATAAAGTTATTGTTATTACATTTATAATCTGCTATTATATTTTATTTATATCTAAATTTCCAAGATATTAAACAAGTAATTTATTAAAAAAAAAAATTTATAAATTATTGAGAATCCCTATCGAGGAAGTACCGAAATATGATCATTTATTAGATCGTTTTCTGGAAGCAGTTATGTTCTGGGAATCGGATTACATAAGAAGGCACAGTTGAGAGCATTTCGCATATTCTCGTCAAATTAAATATAAGTATTAAGAAAAAAAACCGAAGATCGAGCGGACGAGGCACAAAAAATTATTTATTGCCTGCCTCGTCTTACATTTGTTTCGTCTCGCTACGATCTTTCGCGATATACGCTAACGCAACTTTGATAATTTTGTTAAAATATGGATTTTAAAAAATTAATGTACGTTTCACTTACCACCCAATTTGGGACTCCATCACTGGGCGTATAAGACAACTAGTCATCGATAATGCGTTTAAAATTTACCGCTTTAGAGGTATTGTTTACATCCATAATAAAGTTGAAGTTAAAAGACACATGAAAACCAAATTTGTAATATTTCGTAGTATTCTCCCCTGGTAGAAACTTACTCTGGGCCTTATTATGGCCCCGACTAGCTTGTCAGTCACCAACTCGGGCATGATACTGGCGAATTAGTCGAGGCCACACACGAAATCGTCATAAATGGCTGTGCCAGCGCCACAAATTCACCGCAATACTGGGGCGACTGGGGCTGTGGATTGGCACTATCTATCTATCTATCCCTTCTAATTTTTTAGATAGGTTATGATTTAGTAAACAAGTAAGGCCCAAACTTTTTTTTCCTGGCAGCAAAGACTGGCGAACGTTACTGATTAAACATAGCGCCAGACTAAATATCATTCTGGGCCATACTATAGACTTTCTAAATTTTTTTAGATAGGCTACGTCTTGGCAAACAAGTGAGGCCCATACTTCTGTCTTGGCGTCAAACTGGCAATTTCTACCAGGGTCCAAGTTGGTATAAGTCTCAGTCATAATTATCTGAATTAAAGTACATTTTTATTCATTTATCTAATCAAACGTTAAAATAATATTAATCAAAAATATAAAAGTATAAAATAAGCATAATAAGATATAAAAATTGTGTTCTATTGTTATTAATTATATTTTTGTCAATTTCATAGAAGTCTTACATTTGTCAGCTTTTTTTATATTATTCGTTATCTAAATTTACACAAGTTATAGTTAATTAAATTTATTTATTCTTATTTCATTTATTTATTATATTTATTATTTATTTTTATTGCAGAAAAAATTATAATTCATAAGAGCAACCAAAGTAGTATTTTAATCTTTATTAATGGTGTTCATGGTGTCCATCATCACTATATTGTTGTGTATACTACAGCAGCTTTAGCAGGTAAATGTATTTTACTTGAGTAAACCTTAGTTCTGCAAAAGATACAAAGGTGAATTATTATATGTCATACAGCACGTGCGAAAAGTGTTTCCTAATTTCTGTGAAGTAGTGTATTTACACGATTATAAGTCTAAATATTTTTTATAATTAGATTATTAAAAAGTTTTAAGTTTTTTAACTATAAATTTGACTCTATTATCTAATTATTCATGTTTAAAAAGTTAAACAATATTAAAAAATTGCATACCTATCTTTCACGCCAGAATTTAAACTGGAGGTCTTGACCACGAGAACTTTTGGAAGTTTTTGATCATGCAAATCGACGAGTTGGCTTTCGTCGTCGCTGAAATTAATTAAAAGCACCACATATCGTTTGCCAATATTTCGTACCACACCGAGAACGGTATTATTGTTTGTAGTAAATGATCTATAACTTCCTTTGGTAAGAGCTGGATCAAATCGATGCATCAGCGCTAAGGTTTTGTAGGTCTTGTAGTGCGATGTCCTAGCTCTTAGTTGATTCGCCAAATTTAACTCTTTGTAATTTTCGTTTACTGGAAGCCACGTCTTATTCGCCGTGCTAAATCCTATTGTAACAAGTAATTAATCAAGATTTATAAATATATTAGTTACTATTATTAAACACCATGTATTCGAACGTGTTCTCTACCTGCATTCTTTGTCGCGTCCCATTGGAATGGCGTACGTTCAGGATCGCGAGACACGGCTTGATATTTCTCTTTGCCCACAAGACACGCCTGAGGATCTAGTGTGTCCTCCCACGATATGTCTCTTTTGTCCACCATGCCGATTTCGTCGCCGTTATACGTTACCGCCAAACCCGGTAAGATCATAGATAATATGTTCATTTGATCCCCTCTGCCAGGAAAACGAGAAGAGACGCGTGAATTGTCGTGATTTCCCATCTAAAAGAATGCATATTACACTTTGACTTCATCTGTAAAAAATCTCTTATTATCATATAAATAACAGACTTTTTAACACTTTGAAAAACTTGACACACCTTATACAAATAAAGAAATTTTTCTTTGAATTAATCTGAATGAAAAAGAAATATTTACATTTATAAATATAGTGCAACACATATGGTGTTTATTGCATAAATAATATTTATAAAATCTAGATCTTTTTAACTGCAATTAGAGTAATTGAAAAACTTGATGAATGTCAGAAGAAAAAATGCAATCCATTCGAAAACAAGAGATTTGCATCGATAATGAAACACGTACCACCCAATTAGCTACTTCATTCTTCGGCATTGCATTTAACCAACGGTCTATAGATTCTTTGTAATCTTCCGGGGTCGAATTTTTAGTTATATTTGAGATAAACATAAAATTAAATGGCAGCGTGCCATATTTATAATATAATGTAGTGTTCTTGAAATTGGTATACGCCTCCATCACCAGTAACTGAAAAAAAACGCATTTTACATCACGCATGAAGATACGACACAAAAAAATAATTTTAAAAAAAGAACAAAAATGGAAAAATAGTTTAATTTACCTTTTGATCCTGATTGTGTTGATCGGCATAGTCGTCCAGGTATTTTCGCCAAGTTCCATATAATTCATAGGTCTCGATAAGATCTGTGGTGTAAATGTGATTCAAATACGTGTAATCATGTGGTGTGGCGCCAGGTGCGTGAGACCTAGGTTCATCTCGCAAATTTGGGTCTTCGAATGTGAACGCAGTGGAATCGACGCGGAATCCGTCTATACCCCTGTCCAGCCAGAATTTCAAGACGTTCTATAACCATTCAAAAAGTTCATTGAAAGTCATAAGAATAAGTCTAATGCTGCAATAAAATATTCTTATGTTCTCGTAATTTCTGATGAATGTTTCTTGTATTTAGAAATTTACACTTGCACAAATTTATATAACAAAATACGTAACGTGCGTTAAATTTATGTTAAAAATTATAAAAACTATTACTTAATTATGCTAGTAATATTAGTAACATTTATTAATGCAATTTATGAAAATTGTATAATCTATTCTATATCTTTCTTGTAAATGCATATAATCATTGCAGTTGAAATCAAAGATTTATGTCTATAGATTTATGTCTTAATCTAATCACTTCCTAAAAAAAACGTGTTAATTAAGAAATTAAATAATTTATTATATATTGTCACATAATTTTTTATAAATTCTATTGGCAGTCTCTGCCAAATAAAACTTTTACTCACTATCATTTCTTCTCGCACAGCGGGATTGCGGTAATTTAAGTCGGGCTGTTGTTTAGCAAATTGATGAAAATTCCATTCACCGACTTCAGGGTAATAGTCCCACGCGGGGCCACTAAACACGCTGATCCAATTGTTTGGTGCCAATTTGCCGTTTTCTCCCGTGCCATTTGCCCACACGTAATAGTCCTTGTATTTTGGGTCGCCCTTAAGAGCTTTTTGGAACCATGGATGCTGGTCAGATGTATGATTTGGCACAAGATCGAGAACTACCTATAAGAATGATACAAAGTTGATCTTGCAAAATTGATATGTAATCGACATGTTTCAGAGAACGACATGAACCCAAGGAACACATTGTAGTCAAAATGACATTATTTTGACTTCAAAACCACTAGTTTTGATGTAGTTTTGATGTCAAAATGATGTTTTTTGACTACTATGTGTTCTTTGGAAAGCAAATAATAATAATTTTTTATTTTTGAATTTAGATTATTTGCAATGTAATACGAAAAATTTTATTATAGATGGCAAACCGTCGCACTTTTAAACCAAGTTTTTTAGCGATCTGCAGAAGAGTGCCAAAGTCTTTCAGTGTTCCATAAGTCGGATCGATGTCAATGAAATTGGATATGTCGTATCCGAAGTCGACCTGGGGACTGGGATATATGGGCGAGAGCCAGATTGCATTAATGCCAGTGCTTACGAAATAGCGCAATTTTGAAGTTATTCCTAATAAAAGACACACAAGAAAATTCTAAATAATTAATTATTCTAATAATTAATCAATACTGTTTTATAGTTTTCAAAATTCTTTGTATTTAAATTATTTTTATATAATAATTTAGGTAGAGTTTTACAACAGTATATATATTGATATAATAACTTATTATTCTTTATTATATGACGTATAGCAATAAATAATGATTGGCATACGCTTACCTTTCAAGTCGCCCACGCCATCGGCATTTGAATCTTTCAGACTCCTCGGATAAATCTGGTAGAAAACGGTGTTTTGCCACCAGTTTTTATTTGTGATCTCAGCAAAAGCAGTGCTCGCAACGAGCAAAAGTGCGCACAAACGCGTCGCCGACAACATGTTGCCGTTTGCACTTGTTGAATCCCAAAATTATTTATATATGTATTAGCGGCAGAAAAATCAGCCACACTCCTACCGATCGTGCTTAATGAGTTACGCTATCTTGACACAATTCTGAAAATTGATAATTATGACTGTGACAATTGTTTTGATTTTTCCATCAGGATAATCAGTGGAACAAATGGTTACCGTATCCATGAAAAAACACGAAATTAATGATCGTAGGACATGTAATCTATGTTAATGATATTTTGAAGTTATTACTAAGTCGCACGATGTTGCAAGAACGAATCATGTTAAAGTAAAACACTCCCTCTTAAATTTTACCTTACTATAATTACATTGAATATATCGGTTTTTTCCACAATTTGCTCCACGTGTAAATTTGTTAGAAGTAAGTTTCAAGGCAGATATAGCTTTGCAATCAACAAATTAACATGCAGTGATAAGACGTTGTTTATGTGAAAATACAAACAGTAAAAAATATAATAATTATAAAAAATTACCCAAATAGACAGTTCGACGCATCTTTGATACATAATTGTAGCATGCGCTATGTAAAAATTGTGGCATATTTATTCAATGATGCATCCGCACTGATTATTAATTATCGATATATTATGATCAGAATTAAATGCTGCAATTATGCGCGATACATGTCACAACCATGCATAACATATATCGCTAAATAAAGTTTGTCTAGAAATATGACACATAATAGCAGCATTTAATTGCGATTAAAAATGATCATCGTTGTATGCTGTTACAATTATAGACTTTCATTTCTAATGTTCAGTATATCTGCATATTTAAACACTTTGCCAAATTACGTCTTCCATTGTTGATGCAAATACAAACTGTTCCACTAAAACGAGATCTAATTCGCCTATCTGTTTGTCTTTATTTCCGAGGTATTTTAGTTTTTCGGTTTTTCGATCAACGATTAACGATAGCTAAGAGAAATAAAAAGTCGTGCAGTTAACTGTGTACGTCATCTGTGTCGCATTTATGCTACGCCAAAACTACTTGAGTACGCTTTCTGCGTTTTATACATACAAAAAGAAACGGTCTTAATATATAAATATTAGGTAAAATTTTCTATTAGATAGTTTTTGAATAGGTAGAATTTAAAAACTTTTTATCTTTTCAAAATATTTTTACTTCTTTGCTGTCGATAAACTTTGGAACTTCTGCTTTGGCAGTTAGTTTGCAGTTTATTGATAATAATTAAAGATAATGACAAAACTTCGGGTGGGCAAACAGCAAGATTCTCTTTTGCGAGAATGGAAGAAGTTTCTTGCATATAAGAAACATTACCTTAATATTTATTTCTTAATACAAATATGATTTATATCTACAAAAAATTTTAAATAAATTTTATTGAAACGAAAGCAATGAATAGAATAATATTAAATATTAAGGGATAGATCGAAGCTATCCCGCGTTAAGTAACAGAATAATGTAACACTGACGTGTGGTCTGACCACACACGTCTATACACAGCCTCACGTCAGTGTGATGAATTACTAACACAAAGAAATTTAGAATTTGGCGGGCGCTTCATCATTATTCAATATTAATTTTTATAAAATATTTCTTGAAGTAATATAATCAATTTTTTGAAGCAAGAACAAGAGAAACTTTGCCGGGCAGGTTTATTGCTTGTGTCTTCACCTTCGTCCTGAAATATACGTTAATAATTAATATACTCTATTCACATATTAAGTATCTAATTATATACTATTATGTTTATTGCACTAAAATAATTTTATATTTAATTTTTTAATATTTATAAACATAAATTTATTTATAAGTCGTAATATCTTGTACCATTATTTTAAAAATTGTAAAGCAGATACTTATTTCTTTAACGTATCTTATTATGATCGTTGAACATATAAGAAAATAATTAATTATACATTAATAAAAATTGGGAAAATATTCAGTATGTACTTACCCCGCTTTGACTGGAGAACCGATGGTTGCAAGTTCAACCACGAGCTTGTTGGAAAGTCCTTGACCTCTCAAATCAACTACCTGAGCGACTTTGTCATCGAAATTGATGAGAAGTACTACACTTTCCGAAGCAAATTGTCGAATTACAATCAAAACTTGACCATTATTCTGCACGAGCGTCTTGAGACTTCCCCGTTGAAGTGCAAGCTTACTGCGACGCAACTTAGTTAAAGAAGTGTAAATCTTATAAGACGACTCGCTGGCCACCTTTTGAGCTGCCAAATTCAACTCCTTGTAATTTTCGTGCACCGGAAGCCATGTGCGGTTACCAATATTAAAACCTTAAAAAGATTTTTTAATATTTTTTAATAAGTAACTTTTTCAATAAGTATTCCTTGAAATTCAGCTTTAATGTAAAATAATTTTACATATAATTTATTATTCTAATAAATTTATTATTTAATAAATTTTCAGTTTATAATTTTTATAATTGAAATATTTTCTGGAAAATAATTGCTATGAATAATTTACCAGCATTTTTTGTGGCATCCCATTGGAACGGCGTGCGATTAGGATCGCGCGATTGATTTTGATATTTATCCTTGCCGGCGTTACAAGCTTGAGGATCTTTGGTATCCTCCCATGATATATCTCGTTTGTCCAACATACCGATTTCTTCGCCATTGTACGTAACTGCGATGCCAGGCAGAATCATCTCCAGCATCGTCATCTGATCTCCTCTTCCGGGATAACGAGACGCAGTCCGGCTACGATCATGATTTCCCATCTATGAAATTATTATTATTATATTTATAATCTGCTATTATATTTTATTTATATCCAAATTTCCAAGATATTAAGCAAGTGATTTATTTAAAAAAGAAAAATTTATAAATTATTGAGAATCCCTATCGAGGAAGTGCCAAAATATGATCATTTATTAGATCGTTTTCTGGAAGCAGCAATGTTCTGGGAATCGGATTACATAAGAAGGCACAGTTGAGAGCATTTCGCATAAGTATTAAGAAAAAAAACCGAAGATCGAGCGGACGAGGCGCAAGAGATTATTTATTGCCTGCCTCGTCTTACATTTGTTTCGTCTCGCTACGATCTCTCGCGATATACGCTAACGCAACTTTGATAATTTTGTTCAAATATGGATTTAAAAAAATTAATGTACGTTTCACTTACCACCCAATTTGGAACTCCATCACTGGGCGTATAAGACATCCAGTCATCGATAATGCGTTTAAAATCTACCGCTTTGGAGGTATTGTTTACATTTATAATAAAGTTGAAGTTAAAAGGCACATGAGAACCAAATTTGTAATATTTCGTGGTATTCTCCAAGTTGGTATAAGCCTCAGTCATAATTATCTGAATTAAAGTACATTTTTATTCATTTATCTAATCAAACGCGTTAAAATAATATTAATCAAAAGTATTAAAATATAAAATAGACATAATGAGATATAAAAATTGTGTTCTAGTGTTGTTAATTATATTTTTGTCAATTTTATAAAAGTCTTACATTTGTCGGCTTTCAATAATTTTGTTATATTATTCGTTATCTAAATTTACACGTGCAAGTAAATACAGATCGAAAAAATATATTATACTCACTTTTTCGTCTTCGTTATGATAATCCGCATAATCGTCCAATACTTTTCGCCAGCTTGCTACAATATCGTATGTGCGTGGATCGTCTGTAGTGTAAATATGATTTAGATATGTATAATCTCGCTCAGTGGCCCCTGGTACGTTACTCTTAGGTTCATCCGGAAAGTCTGCACGTTCGAATAAATGCGGGATGGCATCTATACGGAAACCATCAATACCCTTTCGCAGCCAGAATCTAATCACTTCCTTAAAAAAACATATTAATTAAGAAATTCAATAATTAATTATATATTATTACATAATTTTTTATTTATTCTATCGGCAATCTCTGCCAAATGAAACTTTTACTCACTTCCATTTCATCTCGCACTTCAGGATTACTGTAGTTCAAATCGGGTTGTCTATATTCAAATTGATGGAAGTACCATAAATTGCGAGTGGCAGTCTTCATCCAAGCCGGACCGCTGAACACGCTAATCCAATTGTTGGGCGGTGATTGATTGTTATTCTTACCAGTTTTCCATATATAATAATCTTTGTATTTGCCTTCGCCCTTTAAACTTTTTCTAAACCACTCGTGCTTGTCAGAAGTATGGTTTGGAACTAAATCCATAATTACCTATTGAAATAATTCCAGACATTAGTTCTCTTTTTTATAGATTTCTTGAAAAGAAAGAAAACAGAAAATAATCGTTAAATTGTACCTTTATGCCAAGTTTCTTCGCTTGAGCAGTCAACTCCTTTAAATCTTGCATCGTGCCAAAGATGGGATCGATATCTTTAAAATCGGATATATCGTATCCAAAATCTACCATTGGACTCGCGTAAATCGGCGATAGCCAAACGCCACCGATTCCAGAATCCACGAAGTGCTGCAGTTTCGAAATCACTCCTGTCGAAATAAAGCAAAGCAAAAATTACATCGCTATGGATATCGTTGAATATTTATACAAATAATAATAAAATAAATGTCTTCTCTTTTTATTATTTATGTAATGTAAGTTTTCTTACTGACTGCTTGATAAATTGCAAATTCTCTTTTCAAATTAGTGTTTTTTATGAAATTTTGCGAAGATTTCAATACTTTACATAATAAAATAAATCTAAAAAGTAATGTTATGTAACTTTCCAAATATTCACCTTTTAAATCGCCCACGCCGTCATTATTTGAATCCATAAAACTTCGCGGATAAACCTGGTAGAATACCATGTTTTTCCACCATCCTTTGTTTTGTATCGTTGCAAATGCATTGCTAGTAAGAAGTAGAATAGCCCATAGACACGTTACTCGCGACATCGTTGACGTTTGTGATTGCTCGTGATTACAAGTTACTCACTAATATACGCATTGATAAGGGATAAAGGAATTCGATAAATTATCTCGACGATGCGTGAGGTAAAATAAATCGATAAATCAATGAACACGATTATCACAACTTTTAAATTTTTTCCGAGATAACTGTGATATTGATCGTAGTTTCGCGATTATAATGCCACTGTTACTACTTACTGTTAACTTCTTTAATTAATATAATCAACTGATTAAACACACTTGCCCATTTCCTTGAATGTTAAATTGTAATCAAAGAATTTATTTCTTAGAAACGTTATCATGATACATAGCTTTATACATACATTTTTTTAAAGCAAGTAACAATTATTGTGTAAATGTATCTAATGTAGTGTAAAATATTTATCTTTCTTTACTATCCGCTACGTAAAGATTATATTTTGAATCAGAAATACATGATGTATAAAGAAACAATTTAAAATTACACTCAACTATAGTATGATAAGTGTATAATATTATGCTACAAAATAACTTACGAATTAATATTTTATGTCTAATAAATAGAATTTTTTCGGATGCTTATGTACATATATTTTTCCACGTATAGATCAAAACCAGCTGTGAAATTATTTATGCAACTGAGTGAGTCAGATTTCCAAGATGATCAAAATAAACAATGAGACTTCGCAAATTGCTAGGTATTATAATCACTAAATTTAATCTACTGAACTAAAAAAAGGTATGGCAGACTTAACTAAAAATTATCTAGTTAATTATCTAGCTGATAATTAATTATCAGCTGTCTATGTGTTAAGAAAAGTGTAAAAATTCTTTTAAATATTTCTGCTTCAAAATAATGAAATGTTCCAAATTATATTCAGTCACGCAGAAGCTTAATAGAAATTTTGTAAATTTTACAATGTGTGTTCGACACATAGAAAATTAACAATGCATAGAAAATTAACAAGTATCGCAGTGCAATACAGTCCAATGTGTTGATACAATCGCAGGCAATTCAATGCACTTTAGTCGCCGTCTGATATGTTAACAAAATATTCACAAAAACAATATAGCACAA